TTTAGTTTTATTCTAAATTGGCAATAAGAAGTTCGTGATCTGGAGCTACAGTCAGCCCCAGGTCTTGTTTTCACCGACTGGATGGATGTCCGCCACCTTTGGCTGCAAAGGATGTAGTCAATCTGATTTCGGTGTTGACCATCTGGTGAGGTCCATGTATAAAGCCGTCTTTTAGGTTGTTGGAAGAGAGTATTCGTTATACACAGCGAGTTTTCCTGGCAAAATTCTATCAGCCTGCGTCCCGCTTCATTTTGTTCTCCCAAACCATGCTTGCCTGTGATCCCAGTTGTCATTTGACTTCCCACCTTGGCATTCCAGTCTCCTGTAATGAAAATAATGTCTCTTTTTGGTGTATTATCCAGTAGGTCCTGCAGATCCTCATAGAACTGATCTACTTCTGCTTCTTCAGCAGCTGTGGTGGGGCATATATTTGGATCACTGTAATGTTGAAAGGCTTTCCTTGCACTCGAATTGAGATCATTCTGTCATTTTTTGGGTTGTATCCAAGCACCGCTTTAGCGAATTTCTTATTAATTATGAAGGCTACTCCATTTCTTCGATGTTCCTCTTGTCCGCAGTAGTAGATCTGGTGGTCATCTGATGTGAACTGGCCCATTCCAGTCCATTTCAGTTCGCTGACCCCCAGAATGTCTATCTTTAGTCTTGACATCTCACCAATAACAACATCCAATTTGCCCTGGCTCATAGATCTTACATTCCAGGTTCCTATGGTGTGTTGATCTTTAGAGCATCGGATTCGTCGTTCACCTCCAGTACCGTCGGCCGCTAGCCTTCCTTTCGGCTTTGAGCTAGCTGCGTCATCACATCTGGGGCTAGTTGAACTTATCCTCTGCTCCTCCCCAGCAGCATTTTGGCCATCTTCCGACCTGGGAGTCCCATCTTCCAATGGCATACCGACATATCTCTGGTTGTACTGGTCCATTTAGTTTTCTTGGCAAGGATACTGGAGTGGTTTGCCATTGCCTTCCCCAGGGATCACGCTTGGTCTGACCTCTCTGCCACAACCGTCCCGTCTTGGGTGGCCCTTCACGGTTTCGCTCATGACATCATTGAGGTGCTCAAGCTCCAGCGCCCCGACAAGGCGGTGATCCTTTGCTGGAGACAATCATAAGAGAAACAGGTAAATATCAAACAAGTTACATAATTTTGCAGGAAGGGCAGGCACAGAGATAAGGTGATTAATGTGTTTGTTTGTGTCCATGTGATTTGTATTTTTACTGTCAGAAGGAGTGTTTGAGAATTTTCTGGTCATTTTCCAAAATAATTCAACTGGGCTTTGATTTGGATGACTAAAGAATGGCCATTTTCTATTGAGCTTCAAGCAGCAAAATATCTCGGGTCAGCACTAGAAATAGGTTCAGAATAAGCACTAGAAATATGTCCAGCTATACCTCTCCCTGTGCCTTTTGGAATGATTCATTAATTTAGCTGCAAGGAAGCGAGAAACAGTAGACATATGTACACCTTTTCCTGGCCAGGGCAAGCAACAACAGCAAGTATGAAAAGTGTCAAAAAGTCAACCCTACTGTAGGATTGTGGGTTCCTTAGATGTAGCTTTTGTGTGCTTCCAGCCAGTAAAGGCAAGTGAAGTCATATTCTTATGGCTGTTAGGCAATTTTACCCTGACCACAAATAGAGCAAAACTAACACTTGACCTAATTCACAGCCAGAGGCAGGAGCTTAGATGTTAGCATGCTACTGCAAACGATTTGAAAGCCACATTTTTGCTAGTGTGCTGATTTGGCACTGCTGTTCGCCAGATGCACAACTAGCTTGCCGTGGGCTGGAAGCCAGGCAACCTGCATGGAAAGACACGTGTCTGGAGTGGAAATTGATGGCGCTTTCTTTGAAGATCCTTCAAGCCCTGCAAAAAAGGAAAACAAGCATAGGAAGAATTTGGTCGTTACAATTCTCCTACAAAAAAAGAAGCATCTTATGTTGCCCCAGATAGTGTATGGGTTGAGAGCCAATGTGATGTGATTTAAAGTGTTGGATACACTAAAAATATACGTGATGGAGATGAGCTTTTTTTAAAAAAATAGTGTCAGAAGCAACTTGAGAAGCTGCAAGTCACTTCTGGTGTGAGAGAATTGGCTGTCTGCAAGGACATTGCCCAGGGGACGCCCCGATGTTTTGTCATTCTGTGGGAGGTTTCTCTCATGTCTTCGTATGGGAAGCTGGAGACGACCGACAGGAGCTCACCCAGATTTGAACCACCGATCTTTAGGTCAACAGTTCAGCCAGCACTAGGGTTTAACCCATTGCACACCATGGCTCCATGGCTAGACTCTTATACCTACTCTAACCTTCCTTCCCATCACAGGTCAGTAATCTTAGGATGCATCTACACTGTAGAATTAATCAGCTTGACACCAATTTCACTGTCATAGCTCAACACTGATACAGCTCATACGGAGTCCTGGGAGTTGTGGTTTATTGACTTACCAGCACTATTTGGCAGGGAAGGCTAAAGATCTTGTAAAACTCATCCTCTTCCCATGATTCCATTGCATTGAGCCATGACAGTTAAAGTCGTGTAAAACTTCATTAATTCCACAGTGCAGATGCACCCTTAGTTGCTATCACTGTTTTGCTCCTTAGGTTTTACAGCATCTGCACAGAAGAATGAGATAATTGTTTCTACCAGAGGGACAGCAGGCAAGCATGGCTTCTACATCTTCACCTAGGGATTCCTGTCTGCTTTCCTTTCATAACGTATTTTCTACAAAAAAGGCAGCTTTCTGATTTTACTGACCATTGGAAGAGTCTCAATGTAGTTGCCTTCCAGGATGAAAAGTGTGCTCCTCCAAGCATTTTGTTTGCCATATTGCTAAACCCTTTCACTCAAATTGAAGTAGGGACTGGAAGCAGCAGTGGATGACATACAGGAAGCAGCTCCCTACTGAGCTATTGAGTTTGAGAGCACAGCAATACTTGATTAATAAGTTACAACTCCACAGAATGAGACTATGTCTACATAGCATTTCTCTGCCAGTTCCTGAAAGGGAAGCACTTAGAGCAGTAACAACCTGTTTCAGTTTTAGTACTGTGGAAAGCAACAGTTCCCAAAGCACAAAGGATTTCTCCACTCCTTTTTGTCTTTGTGATCTCTCTTTTGAAAAATACCTACTGTGGCAGAGCTCACATAAGTGTATTTGTGCCAGAACCATTTATAAAATAAAGTGCAGTGGTAGGCCAATTAAGGGACTTTTCATGCTACACAATTGTAGCACTATCATTCAACTTGATAGCACTTTGATTAAATTTTAATTCCCATGGCAACAACCCATGGCATGGTTTGCCATTTAGGGACAGATATTAAAAATTCTCTATCAGAGAGCTCTAGTGTCTTATCAAACTACAAATCCTGGGATTCTATGTGTTATGATGTACTGAAACGTATCGCTATAGATTTGTTAATCGCTGCCTGTCCATTTGTTAATTGCAACCTGTAGCTAACTCTAATAACCTGTCCCAGTATTTGATTCCTCCTCCATATCCATCACAACTATTTTCCATGAAAAGCTGTACCCTGATTTTTGTTTGTGAACATTCACAAGGTGGCTTCATCTTTAGACGCAACCCTGCCACCTTACCATACAACATTCGCGGGTTTCCCAATTTCATGGGGAAAAAGTGGTATAAATAAAAGCTGCCTAGAAAGTAGTCTTAGTCAAATCTGCTTTCTGGTCAGAATTAGTGCTTGTAGAAACATTGCAATGCATGAACCAAACAAACTAAAATGGACAGGAATTGAACATTTTGAATTAGATAGCTGCATAATTATTTTTAAAAAATGAAAATCTAAGAAGCAGTGGGCTGGAATTAATAGTGAGCGATGTAGTGAAAGCAGTCAAATGATATAATGAAAACCCATCAGTATAATCATAACCCAAATTTATGTTCAAGCTACATTCGAGGCAGAAGAATGTAAAAGATTGCATGCTTGAGTCCAAGCAGAAATTGACAACAGTCCAAAACAGGACTCCTTGTTAATCATAGATTGGAATATGAAAGGAGGAAATAGCAGAATCCAAGATTGTATGAAGAAATTGGTCTAGGATGGAGATATGAAGCAGGAGAACAACCTGGGCAACTTCTACACAGCCATGTAATTCAGATCAGAATGTGGATTAAAGAAATCTGGTTCATTTCAGAGTGTCTACACAGGTACCCTATGAACCAGCTGGAAGCTGGGCTGGTGACCACAAAGACCTGCTGAGTGAGGATCTATCTGATCCATGATGTTGTTTCCTCCTAACTCCTCTGATGAGATATGCTGGTAAAAACAGCTTCGCATTGCCTGATTTCAGCAAGATAAAGTATGAGATGTCAATCACGCAATCCCATAGGAATGTTGTGGTTTCCTTTCTGAGGTGTGTGTTTACCTTCATGCTAAGCTGTGTATCTGCCTTCTTTCTCCAACTGCTATAGCATTATCCCTACTAGGCCTGCTGTGCATTGTTTATACATAGATGAGCTTCAGTGGATTTTATGGCTTGATGAGAATTTCCTGTGAGTTTTTAGCATACTGTTTGTGTTGGAGATGTATTGCAGTTCAATTGGGGGTGTAGAATTTTAGACACCCCGACCTCGAGCTGGCCTCAAGCTGGATTTTAGTGCCAGCGTAGAAGGGCCCGGAGGTTTACACGTACATTATTGTTGTTCTTTTCTATACAGTTTTATCTAGGGATGATGGTACCACACTGTTTCTCTCCCTCCCAACATTTATTTTGTGATGCCAGCTATATTTATTTGATCATAATTTTGACTGTGTGATGTAAGGCCTCTAAACAGAGACAACATAAGTGACTATGTAAAAGCCCAATTTGTGAAAAAAAATGTGCTGCTTTTTTTTAAAAGAGAGAAATGCTAAGTGATCAAGCAGATGAGTTTATTTTAATTTCTCCATGGATTTCTTACCTGACAATTGATAATCCTTGCAAAGAGCTCATTAAACAATATTAAAGAAACACAGATTGAATTTTTAAATAGCTTTTTATTGAAATGTATTACATTAGCAAACCCTAACTTAGAGGTATACACTACTAACGTATCAGTATATACCACACAGCTACAATACAGTAGTATACTTACATCAAAATAAGTAGACTGAGAATTTGTTTTTGTGGCTGCCAAGCTACAGCTTATCACACACGTTTGAAAATTTCGATTGTCAAGAGGGTGGCATCTCGCTTGCACATGCCTGGATTAGAAACAAGGCAAATAGTCCTTTTCACTTTGCCAGGCCTCTGGTAGCTTGTTTGCATTTTTCAGCTCTTGGTTGTTCACATTGGTATAATTCACAATATGGCAATGAAGAATTCAGATACATAGGCCCCGCCACTGTATTCTACATACACAACCCTTGACATTTTTAATCACTCTTGCCAATATAGTTTTCTTTTCTTTTAAAAAACCCCTTTCTGTTAAAAATTGTTCTCACTGCATTTTGTGCATAGTTAGACTTGGTCTGTACTTGGGGATCCTGAGCAGACATATAACCTTTAAGGACACAGCTATCTACTTAATCTTTTATCTGGGCTAACAGTCTGAACTCAAGACTGTGGTTCTATGTGCTGAAATCCTGGCTCAGCACACCCCTGAAATGGTGCTTCCATCAGCACTTTGTGATTGTAACAAAATGCCCATACAAATATGTTCTACCGATAGCTACAAACCAAAGGATTGCACGCATAGCCCTTAAATGGCACAAAAAGGGCATCTATCTGATATCCATTTCTTTCAATATGAAGTTGACCGAATAACTGAGATACCACTAGCTTTGTGCACTTCTGAGAAGTTTTTTTTTTAAATTTCCTGACAAATAAGGCTTAGTGTGGAGATTTTATCACCACAGTGAGCAATGTACAGATGCAGAAGAGATAGGAAAGGATGACTAATGTTTAATTCTGGCGGTGGCATTTCCCCTCAGATCTAACAATGTTCATTTCCACGAATATCCAGAGATTGCTGCTTTCCCCCCATCCCCACTCTTTTCCTGGCAAGGCTCGTGAGGTTGCTGCATGACAGGAAGGAACCTGACAAGTATAGCTTTCTCCTCTTACTGAAGTTTTATGCCAAGAGGAGCTGTACAAATTCAATTTGGTCTAGGGTGCCACTGTCAGAAAAAGGAAAGGTGGCAAACCTTCATATACGCTCTTTGGATAGGTCCAGGTGTAAGGGTTTTTCATCCTGCAACAACAATTGTGAGCTTTTTGCCAACCACCACATCTGAACCTGTGCAGCCTAAATAATGATAGAGCAAGATTATTTCCTCTTCAGTGCCCATAACTGAAGACATTTCATTTGACCTTGGACGTAAGTTAGTCAAAGCCATTGCAAATGTGATTTGCTTCTGTGCTGGGAAAAATAGCAAGTCTTTTTAAACAAGCTACGGAGCAGGGCAAGTGACAGCCATTTTACATGCGTTTTTTGTTACTGGAATTCAACCCCCTGTTAACAAATGTGATAGCTGGGTCTTTCTGAATTTCTTACATCCTTGTGAGCAGTGCAAAAATTACAAGAAGGCAAGAAAGGCCTGTCCCGTCTCCTGTGCCCTTCCCCACCCGACTGCTATTTCTGGAAGGCTGAAGGTGATCTCATGGTTTGATTTAAAATTGGGTTGAGACAGAGTTTGGGACTTTGAATTTCATTATCCTACCCGCCATAATTTGAGCACTGTTCTCCAAGTCAATAAGAATTTGTGATTTTAGCAAGTAGTTAGTCATTGCTAAGTTATTTACAAAGCTGGCAATTTTAAGGAGATAAGGCATTGATCCTTACAACTGTGTAGATATCTTGGAATCACTGGCACTACACCAATTTAGTAAGTTAGCAAATCATCTCCTTAAAATGATAATCCACTGTACTCTGTTGTCTGAATGCACCAAAAAGAAAGAGAGATAAATAAGCGACAAGGAGAGCTGACCAAATGTAATTGAGCAAACACTGAAAGAATAAAAGGAATGGGAGACAGTAACCAGGGTCACTCCACAAAAACTGATCACAAAGTATCATCCAACATGGTCCAGCACTGCAGAATGCCTGACACCTATAAGGGAAATTTTGGGCAAATGGAGACATAAGCAAACAAGCTGTGGTTCTTTGCACAAGTGGACAAACGTGTAAGCATTTATATAGTACCATCCATGCAAGAAGCTTGCTATTCATAATTATCAACAAAGTCTCACACAATTCCTGTGAGCTAGGAAACGGTAGCAATGAACAATTAGGTGTTCTGGACCATCTGGTGTATTTGAGTATTTTCTGTTCAAAACTTACAGTTTCCAGTCTGGTATGTAACACACCAGATTATTTTCATTTGTTTTGCTGAACTGATAGGAAAGTGAACCAAAGTCTCTTCCTATGGCAAATGCATTAGTATAGTTATAGAAATACATTTGAATACATTCTATGTTTGCCCTTCAGAACACAGTAATGTTTGGGTGTGCACACTGCTAGTTTTCTGCAGATTAGTTTTTAATTACTACTGAAGTTCTCTTTGCACTCTAAACTAAGATTATCAGGAAATATAGACTGTTAAATGTTGCATTACATAAATGACTTCGAGAAATGCAGTACTGTCCCATCACTGCATTTCAGAATGAGTTTGACATATTGATCAGCATCCAACATGGAATTCATGTTTACTGTTTTAAAAAGCAGGGCGAGTATTTTTGCTAAAACTGATTATTAAAAAACATGTAACCTTCTGAACGGTGCTGATCCTCTTTTAAATAGGTGTTAATGTGTGGTCCTATCTAGGCGAGACACAGTACTCTTGTGTACTTTCCACAGTACTCTTGTGTCCTTCCCACAGTACTCTTGTGTCCTTCCCACAAAGTCCACCCAGGTGATCTTTCTATCATCATAACTTTTTGACCATTGTCATTCCATCTGCAAGTGTTCAAGTTTGCAGTTACAATTTGTGCAGTTGTTTGCTTCACTGTGACTAGAACATACACTTCTGATTGTGTTTCTCACTGAAATAAAGAACAACTAAAAAGGATTAAACACTTTCCCGCTAAACCTTGGGAATATTTAAAGTACCATTGATATTAACTAGGTACAAATCAACACTCATTGGAGAAAGCTCCATTTTCAATTTCTGCTACCTCTAGGTAAGTTTAAAAAAGGATTCTGATTGAAACCTTGGAAAATGGATGCTAATTGGTTTCAACATGGGACAATGACCAGACTTAGTATAAGGCAGCTTCTTAGGCTCTTAACAATAAAACCAAAATGTTCTTTTATTAATGGCGAAGCTCTAGATGAAAAGGACCATGTATCAGTATTTAGTATAGGGGTACCTCAGAATGAAAAAGATTGATTAAGTAAAATAATTGGTAAATTGAGGCAAAGCTTAATGTAGAACAGGCCAAAACAGAGATATGTTTATGGACTGAGAAAAGTATTATTTGTTTACAGCACAGAGATTTGTTATAACTCCTGTTACAAATATGATATCATTTTCTAAGATTTTATTTTCTAAGCAGGGGTTAAAACATCAAATGAATTGGGGGAATAGATCTGTCCTGTTTGTCTCCACTAGATGTCACCATAAACAACAGAAAGTTATGGGAACCCATGATGTCATCATTCCTGTCTTTATTCTAAAGCCAAACAGAGCTACAGAAATATAGGCTTGCTGCACTCCTACAGTTTTTCTGTGTTCATGCAAGTTTTAAAGAGGCAGATTATTTCTTTGATCTCCTTTTATAGCTTTTGATAAGAGATTCAGCCATAAGTAGCTGTTATAAGGCATACAATGCTGTGTGTGTCTTGGCGGGGAGTATGTACCAGGCAGGGGAGTACAAGGACAGTTTCGGGAAGTGAACACAGAAAAAAATGAAGGTAATGGGAATATTTAGCAGCAACCATCAGTTGAGCAATTTATTAAAAGAGATCCTCTTATCTGAGTATTTTTAAAAGGGGGGGGGGGATTCACATTTTTTGTGGAGCATAAAAATTAAACATGAACACTCAGGGATAAATAGATGGCCTAGATGCTTTAAGATCACCCAGCTTTAAAAAGGCATTACCAGCTGACACAATCTTAATTGCTTCACGCAGATGGGATGTCTCTGTGGGTGGAAAAATGAGTAACACTTGAGCAAGGTCCATGGACTGGAAAAATACTGCATCATTCAAAATGGGATGAAAGCTACTTTAAGACTTCGCTTTGATTTTTTTGTCTTCTCCTCAAATACTAAATCCTCTCTTCCAGGCAGTGACATCTCCGGCCCATCCCATTTGGATAGCAGCCAGCACGCCAACAACTTAAATAAAAAAATAGTTTTCTAAGATCTACAGAGACAACCGCTGAAACACCTCAACAGGCAAGAGTCCAAAAGTGGCAGGCTAAAACCCAGAACCTCAATCAATGGCTCATACCAAATGAGAGACTCCCTCCTGGGCACACAGAAAACTGGGCAACTTGGAAGGTGCTGAACAGACTGCGTTCTGGCACCACGAGATGCAGAGCCAACCTTAAGAAATGGGGACACAAAGTGGAGTCCACGACATGTGAGTGTGGAGAAGAGCAAATCACAGACCATCTATTACAATGCAACCTGAGCCCTGCCACATGCACAATTGAGGACCTTCTTATAGAAAAACCAGAGGCACTCCAAGTGGCCAGCTACTGGTCAAAGGATATTTAATAGAATGCCAAGTTTGCAAACTTTGTATTTTTTTAAAAATAAAATGCAATGCTACTGTTTGGTTCACTCCTGACACGTTAAATAAATAAATAAATAAACCTTCCACCAAGCCAGGTCAATGATTTAGTTCAGGAGAGAGAGGCCTAACAATGTTCCTCTTTTTGTGCAAAGAAGGAAACTGTTTGGGGGGAGGCATGTGAGATATTAAATGTTAGTGCCATCAACTTTGTGAGGTAACAGAATCACCAGCATTCTTTGGGGGGAAAACTGGTGGCAGAAATGGCAAAAATATGCATTTGTGTAGATATGCCCATGTTTGCAACTCCTTGGTGCTTAAGACTCAAAAACTCAAGACTCCAACAGTCATAAACAAAATGCTTGTCCTAAGTTACTGACTGGCCTCATTCAGTTCTTTCCCCATTCCTTTGGGACAATTGGATACTTCTGCACACAACAAGATGGATGCTTTCAACTTATGGATTAATTACTATGAGGAGTTCTTTGAGGAGGGTCTCATACAAATAAATTATTACAATATGAATAAAGAATAGCACTTAATGGACTGAACTGAATGATTCCTCTGCAATTTTGCATGTACTTAGGAAGGTCACAAAGATGACTGCATCAAAGCAGAAAGTAAACCATCATTCCATGTTGTATTTTCTATGTACAGTTTCTATTTTTTTTTCACAGTACTCACATTTTCTGCATGGTTATATATTTATTGCGCTTTCTTAGGGCCCCTCCTAGAAGATCAGACATAAAACAGATCCTCTTCCTATAAGTCCACCTTTGACACTTTAGAAGCAGGCAGGCAGAAGCAGGCAGAAACCTAAATCTTATTCACACACCTAGCAGGCCATTAGTACTCTTAATTAACTTGTGGCAGAGCCTCCGGTGGGACATGAGAGAAGCATCCCTCAAGAATGATAAAACATCAAAACATCCAGGTGTCCCCTGGTGTCCCCTGGGCAAGGAATTGGAATATGAAGGATTCCAATTCCTTCATACCAGAAGCGACTTGCAGTTTCTCAAGTAACTCTTGACATGGAAAAAACAAAAACTTCTGGTACAAGTTATATCACTTCCTTCGCCATGATACATACTATGAAAAGGATGATTCATGGAGAGGTTGTGGGAAATTATTAGGAACAGGTTGTGGACTTGGACCCCTATGCAGTGCATGCAGTACATGAGATAAGAAATAGTTACATCCTCCTTCAACACAGACTCTGTTGCACATTAAGTGTGTGAACACATGTGTCTTGCCATAAAGTCCTCATAAAGTCTATTTTCTTCCAGAGCTGCCTACAACTACAATGCTAGGCTCTGGAATAATAATGAGAAAAGGAAAGGGTACAATCTCAATGGTCTAAGCCACTGTTGCTTTCATCTGCAAGAGAACTGGAGACACATGAGACAGTGGGATTGCAACTCCTAGTATATCTAACTATTGGCTATGCTGGCAGGTGTTGATTAATGTTAAGCCCAACCCTGTTCTCTATATTTGAAAACAGTAAAATCTGGGGAATTTTATTTTAAAAAGCATCATTGTTCTTAGGCACTGTTTCTGCAATGATATTACTTGAAAGAGTTCAATTAATTATTATATACATTAGCTGGGAAAACTTTGGCATTTCAAATAGACCTTCTAGTCATTTTTGGACAGAATATTATTAGGATTATGGCATTTACCATCATGGCATTTACTGCCTACAAAAAAGTGAACACATCCAGGTATTTATAAAATGATTGCTGCCCCTGAAGCTGTGAACTGGGAAGAAGTATTGGTAATTGGGCAAAGATAACTTGGCAAAAATATCAAATCCCAGTCCAAGCAATACTTCCTGTAAGACAGGGTACATGGACAAGGATATTTCTCAGGCCATAGTTATGAAACTAATTTCCATCTGGGGGAAAAAAGCACCATTATCTGTCTTATATCTCCCCACCCTCCATTAGACAATCTCTGTATAGAAAAAAAATGTTATGGCTATGCTTTTGCTATAAATTTTTGTTGAACGTTTTTTAGCATGCAAACTAATCACTAACTTCTTTTTTAAGTCTTTTTTTTTAAATTAAGCAATGTTTCTGCTTGAAAGGCAGAAAAGAATGAGCAAGTTTATAAATTGTTTAATTTTCTGTGGTTTGCTTTCTATAGATTGCTTTCTATTTCTCTGTTTTAAAATACTATTACACATACTTAGATATTTAGACAAAACCTGTGACCATTCCTTTTCATCTATGAACAGATATGTCCATCCACTTCAATTTTGAGAATCAATTTGCGTGTGCTCTCATCCTAAGCCAACTTATTTTCAGAAATTGTGACAATGAAAAAGCTACCATAGAAGAAATGAGGGAATTATATCCTCGTGGCATAAATGAGCATTTGCCTCTAAATATAAGCCATTTTTCTTCACAGGGTGACTACATATCAATTGCTATTTACTGAATTATATTCTCCCTGGAATACTTATAACAAAATGTAAAATAATGGAAGATGGACAAGATATAGAGGGGAAAAAACAGTCTTAAAAACACTGAGATAGGCATAATTGAGGCAGAAGAATTATAACACTTCTCCTTAAGGATATTGTTTTTAAAATACCAACGGTGCCTAGTGGTGAATCCACTCTGGGTTTTGTGTGTATTTAAAGCAGGTGTCCATGGTGCTGGACACTATCCTCAGAATAGGATGAGGATTCCCCCCCCCTTTTTAAATGTTAGAGTCACACTAGAATGTATAGCTTAGCAAAATTTGAAAAGCTATACAGAAATGAATCAGAGAGATATTTGAATGCTTTCATTATTAAAACATAAGGTAAGCTTTTCTCCAGCTAAGGCGATCCAGAAATTTTGGACTAAATTTCCCATCAGCCCCAGAAACATTACCGATGATGAGAAGTAATGAGAGATATAATCTAGAATGTTCGGAGGGCACCAGCTTGGTCTAGGTTCATATAATTATATCCTCATGAGTCAATGTACCCAGCATTGCAAACAAAACAAAACAAAAACCAAATTCTTAAGACTAAGATAAGTTAGTAATTAACTGCAGTCATTAAATGTTTTATGTCTTATTCTAAGTGCTCCCTTTATATCATTGACTGCAGACACCACTGCCAATGCTTATACCACCAAATTAAAATATTAGTGATGGAGAGACCGGCTACAGCCATGCAATTGAAGTATCCTGAGAGGATAGCACAACTTTGAATGGAGAAATTTCCAAGTTCAATCCCAAGAAGCTTTAGTTAAAAGAATCACTGATTCCAGGGCTGGGAAAGAACCTTTTGCATGCATCTGAAGTAAAGAAAGACAATGCAGAGGTACAGCAGTGGCTGTAACTGTTTAGTTCCCCAGATATTAGACTGCAACCTGCAGTATTTTTCACCATTGACTGAGTTGCCTAGGGACTGCTGGGACTTGCAGTCCAACAACATCTGAATGACTTCATAATTGTCATCACTGTGGTAGGAGAAGTAATGGTCTGCCTGATTTAGAGAGGAAACTAGTTTGTTTTTCCTAGCAAACAATAATCCAGTCTTAAACCACTTAAAAACTAGTGATTGCCCTATTCATCTCTATAGAGTGATTCCAGTTTGAAAAGTTAAAAGGTGGACACTGGACGCAGGACATTTTGCTGAAAATTGTACAGATTTGTAAGAACAATGGGGTTGATGTCTGTTGAAACGTGTCTATAATACAATTCACTCATGAAACATCCTATCTACATCCTATATTTTATAGAGTTGAATTCAAATGTAAAATAAATCAGGTATAATTAAGCTCTAGAAACAATATATTTGAAACAGAATTTAAGAAATACTCTTTCCTCCTCTGGATTGGGTTCTATTTGCATTTTAACAGGGGGAATGTATTTTGCTTCCAATTAATGTTTTCTCAGGATCTATCCAATTCACATTCTTTTAGCCCGTGGACTACCCATTTCATCCCACCCTCACCCAGTGCTCAAAGTTACTATTGCACTACTATTGGAATTTGCAAAGCTTGGTGCAATCAGCACTTCAGAGTTTTAAATTATAGCTTGTTAATTTTCTAAAATTCAGATTTACCAAAAGTGTGCTGTTATGACTTAAGGTACAGCAAAGAGTACTGAACTTGATTTAGTTTTTTCTTATCAAAGTTCCACTAATATCTTTTTCCATGAGTGCACTTTACATAATGTGATACCACTTTCCAATCAACAGTTGAATGTATACAACATTGGCAGTTTGTACAAGGAAAAATGAATGCTGGGTCTGTGTATGTGTCCATTCAAGTAATATCACTGTAATCTTTTTAAGCATATTACTAATTTTCTCTCCCAAACCTCTAAATTTAATTCACAACACTTCAAGACTGTGCTTTAAAAATATTTTGTTTAGAATTTCTCATGGTTAGTGGTGAATATTAAAACTTACCTGGCACAAATAACAAACAAACGGTTGCCAGTGATAAACCCTTAAGCTCTGCACCATCCAGTCAAGAATGATTGGACACAATATGGCCATCACAGCAACGCAAACCAAGCATCCCTACTAATATCCCCCCCCCCCAAAGATAGCTTCACAGAGCTACCTTCAAGTCTTTGCATCAAAGTTCCACTACATTCCAGGACAAGGGAGTTCTTGTTTTAGTAAGAAACAATTTCCCAGTTACTGTAAATCTTTACTCTCTGTAGCAAAAAGACCAAGACGCTTTCCATCTGGCTGCATACAGCTTAAGTTGCCTAAATGTACCCACACAGCATTCCTTACCTTTTCTTTTGGCTTCCAGGCTCTTCAGCAATCAAGATTGACAAGAGAATTAAGCTCATGTTCACACTACAAGGGTACCATTTCTATCTCTACATAGCTCAGATTTGCAGTGGGGGAAAATGACACTTGTCAGTTGTTAATGTTTCATGTGGCATCCTCAGCAGGAAAACCTACTCCAGAGAAACAATTCCACAGTTCAAATCAAATCTGAATATTATCATACTTTTTTTTTGCTCAAGCAACACTGTTGACAGTTTTTTTTAAAAAACATTAGTCTTTCATCTTTAGCTGTCCATTTTTGCATCAGAAAATTTATGTCCTGCTACTCATGTCCCATTATAGTAAAAAGGGATTCATTTGGATGTCAAAGCAGCTGCTGATTTACCTCCTTGCTGCATTCATAATATTCATGTCCCCTGGAACAGGAGCAGCTTTGGAAAAAAAATGTTTGTTGCTCTATAATGTGGAGTTATCTCAATAAAAACATGTAGGAAGGAAGGTTTCCAGTTCCTTCAGCATATAACACCAACATAGCTGGCTTCTTAAAAATCAGAGTGAAAAAACAACACATCTTTTAAAAACAAGCAATAACCTATTGTTTTTTTTTTGATTCCTGGATTCTTCTTAAGATGTCCGAAATCACCTAAAGGTCAAATATTGGGTATATAAATTTCAGCAGCATATTTTAAAGTTAGAGATTCCTTCTGGAGAAGGCTGGAAAAATGGCTGTGTTTTTGTTTTGTTTTGTTTTTTGCATTCTTTCTAAGCAGGTTTTGTCCATAGTTAGGCTCAGCAACAAAACACAAAGATCCCCAGAATCTTGTATGGATGTCGCAGGCTGTAAAGTTGGTTTGCTCTGCCATCAGCCTGTTAAAACAGCAAAGCTGGGATGTTAATACATTTCTTGGAGATCCCTTTGATATGGGGACTGTTCAGTGTAAGAGCAAAGACAGAACAAAGAGTAGCTGGAGCGCTTTGGGCAGTCAGCTTGCCCCCTCCTCCGTCAGGCAATGAAGCTGGCAAACACTGCAATTTGTGTATTAAAAAAGAGAAATACCATGTGCCTACTCAAGAGAGGTGATTGTTGTACAAAATTAAAACCGAGTAGGGTAAACCTCTAGCATACTGACACCATCATTCTGGCACTGCTAATGGCAATTCTGCCATTCGGCAACCTCCCACAGCCGACGTGTGTGCACACTTCATCCGTTCACAGATGTCATCCTCAGATATTGCCTCAGCTGAGCTTCACCTTTGCAGCCTGGCAGCCAGGCACATGTTCTGGAAAAGGCAGCTCTTCTTCAGACAAAGGACACCCATGGAAGGAGTACACAACAATAGGAATGAGAAACGGAAAAGGAAAACGGGAAAGAGAGCAAAGCAAGAAGGATGCAGATCCTCTTCAGGTCTTGTTCTCATCATACATGTCCAAGACGGGCTCAATGGAAGAGAAGTCATTCTCATAGACCAGGCTCCGAGGAGAGAGAGAATTGCGGTGGAAAAAATGGCCACCTGCAAACAAACAAAAAGCAATTGTTAGAACAGCCCTATTAGGATTGAGGCAGGAAAAAATGTGGTTTGTTAACAGCTGTCCATAATAACCCACTCTCTTCCATTAGTTTCCATTCAAATCCAGATAATCAAAAGTATCCATCCTTTGAAAAGTTAAACCAGCACTACTTTAGGCTACAGGAAACATCGGAAAATGAGAAAGAGAAACCTATTTCCTGTTATACATCACTGTATACAAGCACTAATTCAAGTATCATATGGACATGTCATCAGTAGGAATCAATGAAATCTTGATTGATTAATTGAGTATATAGATTTAATTTTAAGTTTTGATTATACTGCTATGACTTTTAAGATCAATTTGAATCCAATCAATAATCCTACTAGAAAGACCCATTAACTTAGGAGTAGGTATGCTCCAGAGCTCACATAGCTTCAACAGCCAAGGTTCGACTCCCTCAAAACTGAAATTTTTGGGGGATGCTGGCTGCTAAGGAGAATCAATGGAAGTCCTCACAGCCATCTTGTTCCCTCCCCCAAAGCCACAAGCAGCCTGCGGGCTGCATAATTACCTTTCAATGACATAATAGCAACTTGGCAAGTGAATACTCATGTAGAATCCATTGATCCAGTGTGTCTACTCTATGTGGGACTAATGACTAGATTTAAACCAAGGTGATTCAAATATTAACTTAAAAACACAACAATTCTAAATAAAAAGTATACATTGCTTATTTTAAATGACAGCATTGTTCAATTAGAAGAAACATTCTCCCTTCTCCCACCAATATCTGTCTTAAGAAACAGAACTTTTTCTTGACAGTTTCTGTTCTTTTAAAAAAGTAATTGTAATAAAGATTTTTAATCCACCAGGGACACCTGTTCAGTTGACAAAAATAGGAAACATCATCTAGCTGAAAATTCCATTGAAAGGGGAAAAAACCTATTTACTATTTTCTATCTACTATCATTCTCTTCAGTGCCCCATGGGTAATTCCAATTTTCAACAAACAGAATTTGGTTTCCTTCACAATACAATAAAATAACATTGAAGAAAAGAAAAAAATCAGCCACAAACTTCAGTGTGCTTATTAAAAATATCACCCTAGTTCCCAGTATCTTAAATGTCCCTTTACTATTCGTGGTAAGTAGAAATGGAGGCAGGCTACACCGCATGCCTAGCCATGCTGCGTCTTCCACTTGTTTCTATGAGAGCCAGGTTGATAGCTCAACCTGGTATCTTCACATACATCTTTAAAGATTTGAAACATCTGTGTTGTTGTTGCTGTTGTGTGCCTTCAAGTTGTTTCCAATTCATAGTGACCTTATCATGGGGTTTTCTGGGGCCCCTCTGTGGGTTTTTGTGACTGAGCAGAGAACTGACATCTGGGCTCTAGAACTGTGGTCCAACGCTCAAAACCACTGCACCATACCATTTCCCCCCAAGAAAAAACTGTAAATATTCCTTGCGAAAAAATGCAGAATACTGCCCTTGAGAACAATGTAATTGTAAGAATACCAAGCTGTTGTCCACCTGGACCAAGAGTGGGAAGCTAATTCAAAGTTAATAAGAGACACAGGACAGGGAACTACCCATTTCATTCTCTACTGTGCTCTCCTGGTCTCCTCTGTGCATCCTTTGTGCACTGTAGCAGGGCTTGTGCTAAAGATACTGAGATGCTGGAGGAGATTGAGGGGAACACAACCACCTACGACAAAATTGGATCACCATGAGCCCAATATAGTTGGGCCTCCTTAGGAATGATCGGCACAGATTGTCTGAAATGAACATGTTGTATTGAGAGACAATACCATCCTTCAATTTCTCCCTCCTGATACTGGACTAGCCTCCATCAATAGATTATCAACAGGGTAGGAATGGATAAAGGATGGCCTTTGTGGTGCATCTTATCTTCAAGACAACCTTGAGCCACTCAAATTTCACAGGCTTCTCTTTGTATAGGAAAAAGGGGCTGAATTATGTTTCCCATGGCAGCAATTTATGCTAACATACCTCCCTCTAGATATTTTTAAGCCACTTCTTATTTTATTTTGGAATGGCATTATTTGGCAGCCCAAATAAACTCTGGAGTGTGTCAGAGGAAGTAAGCAAACCCTGATATTGGGGGGTGAGTGCAATTCCCCAGTGGCCCAGGTCAGACCTTCCCCAGACATTCTCTTTCACTCTTCCTAACTATAGTCATTTTGCTACTAATACAGATGGAGAGTTTCATGCCTGTATCTGCATAGGTCAGAGACAGATGTCCGCTCTTGCCTGATTTCTCATATGAATTTCCTTCTTCATAATTGATGAAAGAACTCTGTCAAGACACAATCCACTCCTGCGTATATTACTTTCCTGAAAAACCTTTCAAACAGACAAGCAAGTTCAGTCTTTACTGGAAGCAGGTCAGTCGAAACTCTCACTCTTGACAGCCTAGCTGTACAAATATACCATAAAACAAGACTAAAAGAGGCCTCTTAAAAGTAATATCATTTCTTTTAACCTTAAAACCTTGGTTTCTTGCTCAAATGTGCACTGTTTTTCTTAACAGAAAGCTGAGTGGGAATACGGTGCTGATCAAACTGAAAGCAGCTTCACAGCGTCAGTTAGGACAGAAATAGAACCATTATATGCTATGATGCTACGCAAACGATTACATTACATAACTCTCAAATTCAGATATTCTGCTCTGCTAATCCCAAATCTATAGAGCAGAAGGCATGCTAATTATCTACATACTCCAATTCCACTCTTAACTTTGTTCAGTGTTTATCTCCCAATATTTTCTGTGTTTTCTTCTCAGTACAAAAAATCTGGTTAAATAAGAAATGTGCAGCTATAGGAAGACATTCTTTATTCTGCCAATAAATTTTGCTATTTCTGTTATGCACCTTCAACTCTCACCTATGGCAACTCTATCATTAAAAAATATTGGCAAGAATTTGTGGGGAGAGGTTTGCCATTACCTCCTGCTCAGTCTGAGTGAATATGATTTTCCCAGCTAAGTGGGGATTTGAACCCCAGGTTCCCAGAGTTTACTCCAACATTTAAAATACTCTATCATTGTGACTCTTGCTATTAATATACGCATCAAGAAGACATAAACATCTCGAAGACATAGTCAAGATCTGGAATAGGAATCAAATCCACATGTTAAGCACCAGTAAGCATAGCAACTAAGTTTCTGTTTCTTTATCGTATTATATATGTAGGTGTGTAAACGAGGGTGTGTATGTAGGATATATGTGTGTCTCAAGAGGTACAGCAGAATGGAAATAGAGCATTAGTCAACATGCTTATTTCAGTAAGATTTGAGAATTGCATCCCACTTGAGCTCTTAGCATTCTTGAATTTCTCAGTAAAAATCACTGATCTGCCTGGGGGAAGCATCTTTCAGAAAGATTGAAGTAGTTTTTGACACAGGTTTATTTAAGACTCCTACTCAGCTTTGGAAACAGGGTCATGTGAACAATCAGAAAACTGTGCCACAGATCACACACACACACAGAAAGAAGAGCAATTACTGAAAACCCCATTGCCTGTATGGTACATTTTAAAATACTACCTGAAGTAGAGATTTTATTCTTTGAAGCTCCATCTCCTACAAGTACAGCTGGCCCTACATATCCAGGGATTTTGCATCCACAGATTCAATCATCTACAGTTTGAAAATATATTTAAAAACCCAAGCTTTCATTTCCCATTTTATATAAGGGATATCACTGTACTATGTATATAATGGAACTTCAGTAACTATGAATTTTGGCATCCACATGAGGTCCTGGAACCAAACCTAGTAGATACCAAGGGTTCACTGTATTGGGTGAAGCTATCCAGTTTGTCTTTTATTGACTTTTTTTCATTAAGCACATTGTCTGCAATGAATAAAAACCTAATATAAAAAACTTGATCTACTCATGTCACAAAACCCATTTCTCCTAATAATGGAGGTATTTCTGAGCAATAACTGCATTTTTTTAAAATGAGGGAAACATTCTTTATCTCTTCATTCCACCACTACAAGGAACACTCTCCTTGCAACTGGAACTCAGTAGAGCACCTGATGAATCTAATTCAAATGTCTGCATTCATTTCCCATGTTCTATCTTTAACATTGTATCAAGTGCAGATTCCGAGGTAATCAACTAATCAACTTTTTGAGTTTTTTAGTTCATTCTTCCTGGAATTTAGCTTTGCTTGTAGCCTGATGGGGAATTCAGGAGAACTTAAAAACATGCATGTTGTTTATAACCCGTGTTTGACTTAATATGCAATCCGCCTTTTTTTTCTCAGGACCAAGAGGGCTATCTTTCTTTTTGTATAGTAGTCAAGGATTTCAAAGCACAGACACCGGGAACTGGGAAGCACTGGCCCTTGAGCGCTCTAACTGGAGGCCAGCTGTAACCAGCAGTGCTGTGGAATTCGAAGAGGCACGAATGGAGGGTGAAAGGGAGAAACGTGCCGAGAGGAAGGCATATCAAGCCAATCCTGATCGGGACCACCTTTCACCTGGAAACTGATGTCCTCAATGTGGGAGAACATGCGGATCAAGAATAGGACTCCACAGCCACCTACAGACCCACTGCCAAGACACCACATCTGGAAGACAATCATCCTTGAGCTAAGAGGGATCGCCCAACCTTTAACAAAATAAAAATTAAATTAAAAAGGCTTCTGAAAGGGAAGGTCTCAGTCTGGCTTCTATAGGAATATGCCAGGTGGGTCTCCCGTAGGAAGTCATTTCACAGACATATGGCCACTATTGAGAAATTTCTTTCCCTGGCAGTCACCTGGTATGTATTTGTAGATGGTAAGACTTACTGAAGATAATTTTAATAATTATGTTGGAGTACATGGTACAGATATACCTTTAGGCACAGTGGTCCTAAGTCATTTGGGGCTTTGCACTATCATAGTGATAAAAGTACAATGATTAAAAGTAATAATTGCTAAAGAAAACAAATATAGCCTACAGTATACAGCACATTATTAAAGG